TGGCTGCATCGGTCTGTATTCCTATCGGCAGTACAGAAGGATTCCCCTTTCTCCACATCCTTCCCAGCATTTGCTGTTTGTTGATTTACTGATGATGGCCATTCTGATAGGAGTGAGGTGACATCTCATTGTGGTTTTAATTTGCATTTCTCTGATGATTAGTGACATTGAGCATCTTTTCATAGGTCTGTTGGCCTTCTGTATGTCCTCTTTGGAGAAGTGTCTATTCAGGTCCTTTGCCCATTTTCTAATAGGACTGTTTGGCCCATGTTTTAAAGTTTGCATTAATGAATATTATTTATATCATGGAAAATATATTTAAAGTTTTAATTTTTTTATAAGGAAAATGAGTATAAGTAAAAACAAAAGTAGTTATTATACTTTAAATGCATCTGACTTAGATCTCAAAATCCACATTAATTACCTTCCTATCCTTAAAACAATATCTGCCTAATGGCTTTTAGAAAATGTGTATTTATAACTTTGGAAAGATTGCTTAGACTTTTGCCTAAAGAATAGAGAAAAAGAAATACACTATTAGAAAAGGGCAGTTTTATAAACTATAGATTAGTGATGCTGTTTTAGAACAGTTTTTTCAACGTATAGTTTAGAAAGTGGTGATCATAAAGTCTTGACATAGGAATTTACTTATTTATTCTTTTCTGCTAATGATGTAAGGGGAAAATACAGAGTGTATGAGGGTTGCTTTGACAAGAACATGTTTTACATCTGATTTTTCCTTCTCAGGAAACCTGTAAAAGAAGCCTAAGTGTATGTGTTCACCAAAGTTATGTATCCAGCATTAGATAATGAGTAGAGCAAAAACTAGAACCCAGGCTCTTTTGACACTTTAAAGAAGTATTATTTCTATTGTATTGTTGAGATGCGCTTCCTATGTCATCTGCTATGACCCAACCTTTTCCTTTTCTGGGTCTGGGCCAAATAGCCAAAAAGGATTGTGGGAGTGGCTCTCATACATAATGACAGTTGGTTATTTTAATTGTCCAGAGAATGTATGAGGGTAGTGTAGAGTTTAATCTACAACATGAATAACACAGGTTCTTTTGCGGGGGATAGTTTTCTGGTTACAAAGGATTATTAATGCTGGAATTGGTCTCAGAATGGTTGTAAAGGAGCCTTCCCCAGAGAACTTTATAAAAAGGATGGATTTCACTCTGCCTGTAGTATTTGCAATATAACCCTTCTTAACTAGGTGACTGGGTAAAAATCCATGCCACTCCTGAGGATTTATGAAAATATTGGCTGACATATTTAATTCAGTTTTTACAATCCTAATGTGTGTTCAACATTGTGTCCCATTTGTTAGGATTCAGTAGGAAGTAGTTTAGGGTGCCTGCTGTGTACCGTGCAGTTTCTAGATGCAGAGGACAAAAGTATTTTTTTTAATTGACTGAAAAGTCTGCCCTCATGGAGTTTCATGTCATTGAGAGAAGGATAGACAATGAAGTTAAATAAAATTTATAGTGTGTGAGAAGGTGATTAAGTGCTAAGAAGGAAAATATAATAAGGGGATTGGGAGTGTACTGGAGGGGGCTAATGTTATATAGGGTGGCCAAGAAAGGTGACATTTGAGGAAAGAAAGGGAGAAAGGATGCTATAAATCAGTGGCGGAACAGTTAAATGCAAAAGGCCTTGAGGCAGGAACAAGAAGGGCAGTATATGTGGAGCAGAAGGAAACAGTAAGACATGGTCACACAGGAAAGCCAGATCTCATAGGGCCTTATAAATCATTGTAAAGTCTTTGGATTTTACCTTGAACAAAGAGCTATTTGAATGAACAGAGTAGTTAGGTGATAGTTTAACATACTTTAACTAATTTATTCTATCTGCAGTGTTAAGAAAAGAAAAGAAGGGAGGTAGAGGAGTTAATGGGGGAAGGGTTTTCAGGAACAACTATAAATAATACATAGACAAAACCAAGGGGGCAGAAGCAAGGGAGGGAGGTGGGGATGGCTGTGGTGGGGGTAAATGCAGACAACTGTAATTGAACAACAATAAAATAATTTTTAAAAAGAATAGAAGAGGGAGGGAATAAAAGTGGAAGCAGGGAGACTAGCTTCAAGGTAGTCGTTTGGTAGTAAATGAGAGATGTTGGCTTGAATCAGGTTGTTGCAAAAGGGTAAGGTTATAAACATATTTTGCAGGCAACATCCAGAGCATTGCAGAGGAGTAGATAATGGAGTATTAGAGAAACGCATTGAAGATGACTCCAAGCTTTTCACCTGAGTGATTGGAAAAATAAATATGTCATATGCTAAAGAGGTGAAGACTGTAGAAAACAGATTTAGAGAAGATGAAGATTAAATCCTCCATTTTGGACATATTAGATTTTTTAAAATATATTTTATTGATTATGCTATTACAGTTGTCCCATTTTCCTCCTTCATTCCCCTCCACCCTGCACACCCCCTCCCACCTGAATTCTCCCCCTTTAGTTTAGGTGCATGTGCCATAAGTTCTTTACCTTCTACATTTCCCATATTCTTGCCCTCCCCCTATTTTCTATCTACCATCTATGCTACTTATTCTCTTTACCTTTTTCTCCTCTCTCCTTCTCCCACTCCCCTGTTGCTAACCCTTCATGTGATCTCCATTTCTGCAGTTCTGTTCCTGTTCTAGTTGTTTGCTTAGTTTGCTTTTGATTCAGGTATGGTTGTTTATATCTGTGAGTTTCCTGTCTTTTTACTGTTCATATTTTTTATCTTCTTTTTCTTAGGTAAGTCTCTTTAACATTTCATATAATAAGAGCTTGGTGATAATGAACTCCTTGAATTTGACTTTATCTGAGAAGCGCTTTATCTGACCTTCCATTCTAAATGAAAGCTTTGCTGGATAGAGCAATCTTGGTTGTAGGTCTTTAGATTTCATGACTTCCAATACATCTTTCTAGCCCCTTCTTGCCTGGAAGGTCTCTTTTGAGAAATCAGCTGACAGTCTGATGGGGAACTCCTTTGTAGGTGACTGTCCCCTTATCTCTTGCTGCTTCTAGAATTCTCTCCTTCATTTTAATCTTGGGTAATGTAATTATGATGTACCTTGATGTGTTCCTCCTTGGGTCTACCTTCTTTAGGAATGTCTGAGCTTCCTGGACTTCCTGAAAGTCTGTTACCTTTGCCAGATTGGGGAAGTTTTCCTTTATTTGTTCAAATAAGTTTTCCACTTGTTGCTGTTCCTCTTCCCCTTCTGGTAGCCCTATAATTTGGATGTTGGAACATTTAAAAATGTCCTGGAGATTCCTAAGCCTCTCCTGATTTTGTGAATTTTTTTTTCATTCTTTTCTGTTTCTTTCTTTCTTTCTTCCTTCTGGTCCACTCCATTTATTTGAGTCCCAGTTTTTTTCCCATCACTGTTGGTTCCCTGTGCATTTTCCTTCATTTCACTTAGAGTGCAGCCTTCATTTTTTCATCTAATTTGCAACCAAAATCAACCAATTCTGTGAGCATCCTGATCACCAGTGCTTTGAACTATGCATCTGATAGGTTGGCTATTTGTTGGTCACTTAGATGTATTGACTCTGGGGCTTTGATATGTTCTTTTGTTTCAGCTGTTTGTTTGTTTGTTTGTTTGTTTATGTCTGGTCCCACCTGTTAAGTAGTAAGGGGCAGAGCCTTAAGTGTTCGACAGGGTGGGGCAACCCCGTCACTGGGCTGTGACACTGTATGTGGGGGTGGGATCAGAGAAGGCACAATGGTGCTTGCTCCGCTCTGTCTCGGATTTCAGTCCCTTCTGCCACTTCCCACAAGCAACTTGGGCCCTTCTGGTGCTGGTTCCCGGGTAGGTGGTCTTGTGTACATTCTAGGACCCTGTAGGTCTCTCCAACGAACTCTCCTATGAGGCTGGGAGTCTCTCCTGGCATCTCAACCCCCACAAGTGTTTTCAGTCGGTGTTTTTAGGATGTATTTCCTGGTGCTGGGGCCCTGGGTTGCGTGGTCTGCCTCGCTCCTCATTTTTGCTTGGTTTATCTGTGCACGAATGTGTGACCGTGGTCAGCCAGCCGCCTTCCACGCCTCACTGGGTCTGCCCGTTACTACCCCTCACCTGGGGTCTGCCAACCGCCACCTGTGCGCCACCAGCCATGGCTTTTTCCTGCTACAACCCCTCTCCACTGGCCACCCACTTCGCCCCTCTTACCAGTCTTGATGAATGGTTGTCGGACTTCCATACAGTTCAATCTTCTGTCTGTTCTGGTTGTTTTTTTCTTTCTAAATTTTTGTTTTCCTTAGTTTTGGTTGTAAGAGGAGGCACAGTGTGTCTACCTACACCTCCATCTTGGCCAGGGGTTCTGTTTTTTTATAATTCAAGTGGATATATGTATATTTTTTAAATATTTTACTTATTTTCAGAGAGAGGATAAGGGAGGAAGAAAGAATGGGATAGAAACATCCATGCATTGCTTTTTGCACACCCCCAACTGGGGACCTGGCCTGCAACCCAGACATGTGCCTGACTGGGAATTAAAGCAGAAACCTTTTGGCTCACAGGCCAGCACTCAAACCATGGAGCCACACCAACCAGGGCTCAAATGGAAATATTTATATTTATATTGAATACATGGATATGGAGTTCAGGAGAAAGCTCAGTTGGAGACAAGAATTTGAGTTATTGGTGTTTGGATGGTTTTAAAGATATGAGAGTAGAAATTACCACCAAGGAAGTAAGTATAAATAGAAGAGAAGCCTAAGGTCTGAGCCCTGGGATATTCACATCGTTAAGAGATTAGGTACATAAAAAATGAAGATGTAGCTAGAAGACCTAGAAATCAAGTGGGAACAAAAAGTGTTCATGGAGGGGGAAGAGGTTGATCAGCCATATCAGATGCTGCTGAATTAAGATCCTGGGACTATATTTTAGGGCATGTATTTGAATGTACATATAATCATCTGTCTGATTGCAGTTTGTATCCCCCCGACCTCCCACACCCTCCCTGACAATCTGCTCTTTTACCTTTTGAATAATTTTACCTGTGTTTCATGTTGCAGGAGAATCCAAACCCTCATATGGCATTTCAGAAAGTTCCACGTCCAACAGAAGGATCCCACTTGCGAGTTCATATTCTTCCCTTCCCAAAGATTAATGAAACCCGGGTACAAGAATTAATACAGGAAAATCTTGCCAAGAACCAGAATGCACCTCCTGCTACACGAGTGGAAAAGAAATGTGTTGTACCAGCAGGTCCACCTGTTGGTATGTATTTGTCTGTTTGTTTTCAAAGTAAACCTTTCATCCAGATACAAGACACAGCCCTGACTGATGTGACTCAGTTGATTGGGCATCTTCCCACAAAACGAAAGGTCACTGGTTTGATTCCTGGTCAAGGCACATGCCTGGCTTGTGGGTTCAGTCCCTGGTAGGGGCGTGTATGAAAAGCAGTCAGTAGTTCTTCCTCATATTGTAGTTTCTTTCCCTCTCTTTGTCCTCCTCTTTCCTCTCTCAAAAAATAAATAAATGAAATCTTACAAAAGATAGAAGATACAAAAACTTAAGTGTACAACTTGATAAATGTTCACAATTTAAACAAACTTGTATAACCAGAATCAGAGCATTATCAACACCCAGAAACATTGTTCCATTCACCACCTCTCACAAAGGGTAACCATTAACCTAACTGCTACTGTAACCAAACCAAAAAACAGGTTCATCTGCCTGCCACCACAAAAGCCAAACTTGTGTGGCAGCTGCCGGTGTGGAAGGAAAGGGGTTTTATCCAGTTGCTGCGTGATCTGGGAGAATGGCAGATTCTAACTCAAAAGCCCATCACTCACAGTTATTAACAACCACACCTAAAACAAAAGCAAACTAAAAGGACAGCTAGATCAGGAGTGGAAACATAGAAATGAAGATCTCAAGGAGGGTTAGCAACAGGGGAGTGGGAGGAGGAGAAGGGGGGGAGAAGGTACAGAAAATAAGTAGCATAGACAGTAGATAGAAAATAGATGGGGGGGGGGCAAGAATAGTATGGGAAATATAGAATCCAAAGAACTTGAGACACATGGTCATAAACTAAAGGGGGGTAATGGTGGGGATGGGGGGGTAGGGTGGAGGGGAATGAAGGGGGGGAATAGAACAACTGTAATGGCATAATCAATAAAAAATAAATTTAAAAAAAAAGCCCATCACCTCCACAAAACCGAGACAAAAGCCAGTGTCAAGAGCTTGCTCCGTTTTAAAGTACAGCCCTTTGGAGCCTGCAGCAGCTGCTAAGCAATAATAGTCCACATCCAGGTAGCTTACCTTGTTCCCAGCTGCTGTTCATTCCAGGCTGCCCCCTGGAGCCTATACGTGGAGTCCAAACAGCCATGAGCCAGGCAGTTGCCAGGGCTGCAGGAGCCCGAGAACACACTGGCTAGTGCATCACTAGCTGAGCTAGAGAGTGAGAGAGGCTCTGTCCTAGAGGTCATGGGCCACATAGTTGCTGAGGCCACGTGGCCCATGATAACAGGCGAGTCCTTCCATGAGAGTCCAAGTCATGAGGAAACCAGCCACAAGCAAGAGCATGTTTCTTTGTTCCCATGACATTATATTAGCCTGGGTGTGGGACAAACCAGGTGCTTTCTCAAGATACCTAATCAGTTTCCCAAACTTTCACGTGCTTCAGCTGGATCCACCTCCCAACAAATCCCTTCTTTCCCTAGGCTAGACTGGCAGGCTTCTTTGGTCTGGCACCTCCCCCTGCGCCATTTGACTTCTGTGGTGCTTGTGCCTGCCTTTTCCGTATCCTACCCCCAATCTGGTACCAGAAGAGGGGAAAGGCTTTTTTCTCCATCCATTTATCTTGCTAGCTCTTTGCACTTGGGCCCTATCCACTGATGTTTCCAGTTTTCCATGTGCTCACTCTAAGCATGTCCCCCTGCTGACACCTCGGCCAGTGGGAGAGACTCCCAGGCTCTTCACACAGACTGTTTGCCAGTACCACCACCACTAGAATCATTGCTTCTTAAAAAAACAACTATATTGGGACATAATTCACATGCCGTAAAACTCACCCATTTAAAGTGTATAGTTCAATGATTTTTAGTATATTCACAGGGTTTTACAGCCATTTTCACTGTCTAATTTTAGAGAATGTTTATTATCTCAGATAAAAATACCCATGCCTATTAGCAGTTACTCGCTGTTTTCCCCTAAGTCACTTCTTCCCGAGCTTTTGGCAGTAATCTATTTCCTATCTTTGTAGATTTGCCTAATCCGGACATTTTCTATAAATGGGATCATATAATACATTATCTTTTGTGACTGGCTTATTTCATTGAGCATAGTATTTTCAGTTTTTTCACATAATATGTATCAGTACTTCACTGCTTTTTATGGCTGAATAATACTCCACTGTATAGATACACAGATGCTCCTGGACTTATGGATAGGGTTACCTCCCAATAAATCTACCATTAGTTGAAAATACCGTAAGTTAAAAATGCATTTAGTACACCTGACCTATCCACCATCATAGCTTGGCGTAGCCTATGTTCAGTGTGCTCAGAACACAACATCCAGCAAAGGTTGGCAACACAGTGCACTGGAGAGTATCGGTCGTTTACCCTCATGATCACTGCAGCTCACTGTGGCTGCCCAACATCAGGAGAGAGCATCCTACCACATGTGGCTATCTTGGGAAAAGATAAAAATTCAGAATTTGAAATACAGTTTCTACTGAACGCTCAGTGCTTTTACACCATCAAAAGGTTGAAATATCATAACTCAAACCATTGTCCTAAGTTGAGGACCAGCTGTATATCACGTTTTGGTATTCATTCGTCAGTTGATGGACATTTGGGTTTTTTTTGCTTCTGCTACTATCAATAATGCTGCTTTGAGCATTCATGTAAAGTTTTGGTGGACATATGTTTTCAGTTCCTGCATGTATATACCTGAGTGTGGAATTGCTAGGTCATATGATAAGTTTATGTTCGACGTTTTGAGGACACCAGATTACTTAGCAAAGCAGCTGTACCAGCTTACATTCCCACCAGCAATGTATGGGCATTCAGGTTTCTCTGCATTCACTAATGATGCAGAGCATCTTTTCATTTGTTTGTTGGCCATTTTTGTATCTTCTCTGGAGAAATGTCCATTCAGATCCTTTGCCCACTTTTGGGCTGTCTTTTTATTATTGAGTTGCTAAGAGTTCTCTATATATTCTATATACAAGTCCTTTATCAGATACATGATTTGCAAATACTTTTTCCCATTCTGTGAGTTGTCTTTCTTTACTGATTAATCTCTTCTTTTTTTTTTTAGGGAGTTATGTTAGATCTTTGATAATAGTAATATAGGCTATTTCTCTTTAGTTCTGTTTTTTCTTCACACATTTTGAAGTTGATTTATTGGATTTTAATATATTTACAAATATTATAGCATCCTGGTGATTGATCCCTTTGTCATTACGAAATGTCTCTCTTTGTCTTTATTAATGCTTCTTGCCTTAAAGTGTTCTTAGATATTCATACAGCTGTACCAGTTTTTCTCTGTTTAGTGTTGGTGCGGCTCATCTTTTTCATCCTTTTATTTTCAAACATCTGGGTCCCTATATTTAAGGTATGCCTCTTGTATGGTGGTAGGTTTCTATAGCAAGTCTTACTATCTTAGTATATTTCTTGTATTTTAGCATATAAATGTGTGTGCATGTGTGTGTGTGTGTATAAAATTTATGAGGCAGTAATAGCTTTGATGTAATTTACTGGATTGTTTCTATTTCACCCTCCCGTTTTATGGTTTCCCTTGATTTCTTGCCTTTTGGATTAATAAATGTTCTTATTCCACAATTTATCTCTTGTTATTTATACATTTCTTTAATGTTCTTTTAAAGGTTTACACAGAGACTATAGCACACATCCACTTTTGTCAGCTCAGCTCTCACCAGAAAGTTTACTGGCCAACCTAGCCACAGCCAGAACCAAGCCAGCATGCCCAGGCTCCTGTCTGCACCCAGTATTGACAAATCTCCTAGGGGGAAAATGGATGTGTGTCTTTAGTCTTTTTCCCTTCTCTGGAAACTTAGGATCTCTCATCTTTGTGCTTTTGTAGTTCTCTGATATGCAAGTAGACAGTTTTTGCATTTTATCTGACATTTATACCTGTTCCTGGTAGAAGTTTTCATTTGCATGAACTATTCCATCCTACCTGGAATTGAGTGTAATTTTATTATTAATGGACAGTAGTGTATTAATTATACTATTTATGTGGTAATGCTCATGATTTATGCACTATTAACATGTTACTTATGTAATAATATTACTTAATTATTTATTTAGAAATGTTAATTTGCCATTATTTTCCTAAGATTATACAACTTTTACATGTGTTGATTGTACTTTCACATAGAGTAGAGGACAGAGAGGGTTGACATCTTATAGTAAATAGTTATTTTTTTAAAGGATTTTGGTCATGTAGTTTTAATATTCATAAGTTTGTTGAATGCATTATTTAAATACCCACATGAACAGAGTAGAAGTTTGTTCAAAATTTAATATGCTTGAATTATAGCATTCCCTCAGTGTTGTCTTTGTATAATGTCTTTACTTTCTTCATTTTCAATTCACATCAAATTCTTTATTTAGATGCACATGGGATGTCTCACTGTAACTGGCACACATGACTCAGTCTTCGGTCCTGCACGTTCTTCCTGTCAGACCAAAAGGGATGGATACATGTGTGCAGGGGCCTCTGTCCAACTTTCTGGTTTCTTTGGATTGGTCAGAATCAGGATTTCCCTCATCCTAAATCAAAAGCTGTGACTGTTTCATTTTACATGATACTCATTTAATGAGTTAGAATATGCTGTCACCTTAACAGATATTCACATTTTGAGAGGTTCACTAGTTTCTAGCTATTCCTCAAAGGGGCCAGAGTAATGGTGATGGCCTGAAACTATCATTTAATAGCCAAAGCCTTAGAAAAGCAATCCTGGGAAGTCAGGCACCCATAAACCAGAGTCGCTATCAAAGGTTAGGGATCTGGTATACAAATGCTGCAGCTGGGGTTTGGCCAGTCCCTGAAGCATCAGTAACTCCAACAGAACTTCCTCCTGGGAGTGAACTAAATCATAATCTCCAAAGGAAAATAATAATTCCCTGGTAGTATACAGATTCATTGTAAGAAAATGGGGGTCTTATTAATGGCTTGTTCTAAAGAAAATGCAAAATACTACTAAAGATACTTTAGAAGTAAAGGTTTGTAAACATAGCTTAAAGATGTTGCTCTCTCAGTAAAGTATGTGGTATCTTTTGGAGACTCTTTAAGAAGTTTTCTGCTGTAAATATAAATGGATTTCTATTTCAATCTCTACTACTAACCTACATGTATGGGAAGCACCATAGCCCACAATTAAGAATGAGCATTTCAGACAGAAAAGTCCTATGAAATAATCTGTTTAACTATCATGCTTATGCAGAATTTAATGTTATGTGATTAAAAATTATTTGAAGAAAACTGGTTAAATCCAAGTAAGATCTATTGTCTAATTAACTGTATTATGTCCATTGACTTCCTGATTCAGATAAAGCACTTTAGTTATGTAAGATGTCACCGTGGAGGGAAGCTGGGTAATGAGAAAAGCATGGTATTTTCTGTGCTATTCTGCAACTTTTCGTGAATTTATAAATAGTTCAAAATGTTTTAAATGTTTAAAAAATTATTCTAAGGAGGGGAGGTTTCATGTTGATAAAATGAAAGATATGCTAATGAGTAACATAGGATAGTCTTTCTTGTTCGGTGTGTGGGGAGCAGATGGGATTCTGCCTTTAGATTCCAGGAGCAGCCATGAACGATAAGGAATTTTTCTTTTGGGCTTGAACATTATTGATGCTACCTCATTTGTTAAGATTACTTTTTGTTTACCAAATATTACTTTCATTTATATCTTTCTGGCATTCTTTCAGTGAGTTAAATTTATCTTAAGTAATTTGAGCCTGTGTAATAAATGGAAAGTATGCAGGGTCACAGTGAAGGTGACAGGTGCCGAGTTTACAGGACTAAAAAGTGACCTTCCCAAGTTTGTGTAGCAACTTTTTGGCTATGATCATTTCTCTTTTGGTACAGTGCTCCTTCAAGTCCCCTCTACTCAGATTTGTAGAATCTAGTTTTTTGGAGTTTGTAGTTTTTCTTTTGTAGTATCTTAGAAATATCAGCTTCTCTTTTCAGTAGGAGACCTCTTACATATACTTGTGTCCTGATCCTAGACCACAAGCACTTACCAATTTGTTTATAATTAAAATTAAAATAGATGTTTACCTTTGCTTAATCTAATTTTACTGTGAAATTTGAATTAATTTGCATGAGTTAAGTGTATCATTGGACTCTGTCCTGTCAAATTATCTTCCATAAACCATTGACTAGCCCAGAACTTTGAAACCTAAAAATACAATCAGAGTAATGAAATGGGATACCTTAAAGGCCACGTAAAAGGGAAACATGAATTCTAAATGTCGATCATGTACAGTTACAGACGTACAAACTCAAAACAGTACTGTTCCCCGTGCTGCTGTCATTGCCAGAGGAGTTTAATTTACTTGTGTTTTTTTTTATATTCCTTTACTAGTTTCGATAATGGACAAGGTGACAACAGTTTTCAACAGTGCACAGAGATTAGAAGTTGTTAGAAACTGCATCTCATTCATATTTGAAAATAAAACGCTGGAGACAGAAAAGGTAATAAAATACCATCTTTCCCAAGTAAGAATTCATTATTTCCCAGTCAGATTTACATGTTTAGTTCACCAATGGATCTCTCCTCTAATTTCATCCTTTTTCTTTTTTTTTTAAGATTTTATTTATTTATCTTTACAGGGGAAGGAGAGAGGGAGAGAAACATCAATGTATGGTTGCCTTTTATGCGTCCCCTGCTGGGAACTGGCCTGCAGGGAACCGGCCTGAAACCCAGGCATGTGCCCTGACTGGGAATTGAACCGCAATCCTCTGGTTCACAGGCCTGTGCTCAATCCACTGAGCTACACCAGCCAGGGCTCATCCTTTTTCTTTATCAAGTGTTTTGATAATTTTAAATAAATAGTGTCTAAGATTTAAAATCTTAGCCAAGCCTAATTGTATGGCTCCCAGACAAATACTGATAGTCATTTTTTTCCCTCAGACTTTTGACATTGTTCATTAGATCCTATTTTGACATATTACTTAAGAACTTAACATTTTACTGTTTCTTTAAAATTTTTTGATTACAGTTGATTTATACAATATTCTGTTACTTTTGGGTGTACAGCGTAGTGATTAGACATGTAATATTTATTGCAAAGAATCTAGTGGGAATTAGTAATGAATTAGAGAAATTGTGGTATTCAACTTCAATGTGCCTTGTTAAGCAGATTTTCTTGCCTTTTTTAATAAAATATGCTTAACATAAAGAACCCTTTTCTTGGTGATTCATCATAGTTCTGAACATCTATTACCAGGGCCTAGCGAAGCATGTAGTTTTTACCCTTACACTAAAAGACCCCAAGCCGCTTTCTGTTTTGAAGCTGTTAGGTTTCCATTTTTTCCTCTGGCTGGAGCGTCGCAGACGTTCCTCTGTCCTCACTCTCGGCTCTCACATCCTGTCTCTTGTGCCCGCCTGTACACATGTCGTGCCCTCCTGCTCTCGGGCTTCTTCCCTTCCTCCTCATTTGCTCCTTTGTTCCTTTTTTAGGTTTTCAAAGTTAAACCTGTTATTATTTTATGTGAAGTGTGTTAACTAAGCTTTTCTGGATTAACTGAAAGAGGCATGCTTATGGATACTGAGGTGAAAGATTTTTAATGAATAAACCTAAAGATGTCTATGTGTAGCTCTGAATCCTTTTTCTTTTTTTATTTTGATATTGAAATGAGAAGAGATTGTAGAATTTTCCAAGCATAAATTAAAACTATGTAGTGATTAAATAGCTGACCAGTGTAAAAGTAGAAAATCCCCTGTATTTCTTCTCATTTTAATTTTTATTTCTATTCTTGCCATGGAGATGTGGCCAGTTATTGAAAGAAAGTATCTGAATGTCTGTGACTTTGACCTGTGATCCGAAGCAGCAGTTGTTTGGTAGAGTTTCGATGAGTTTTTTAAAAAGTGTAGTTAATGTTTTTTAAAATTTATTATGTAAACTAATTTTACTTATTTTTTCATGCTTGCTTATAAATAAAAGTAACTAAAAGTCTATTTTACAGTTGTCCTCAATAGCAGAGCTACTCTTACTCAACAGCTTAATTTTATTAGTAACTGTCAAATGGTTTACAGGATGCACTTGAACTTCCAGTGAGGTTACAAGTTAGTTTTTTCCGGTGGCTCCTCTTGTTCACGCCGGCCTCTCTCGTCCTCAGACCCTTCCTGCCGCCCTGAGAGCCCTGAAAGGAAAGGCGGCGAGACAGTGTCTCACGGAGGAACTGGGTCTACATGTCCAGCAAAACCGGGCAATACTAGACCATCAGCAGTTTGATTACATAATAAGGATGATGAACTGCACTCTACAGGTAATTTTAATTTTTTCCATATCATTCTTATTCATGAATACTTTTTATTTTTCCAGGAAGTTCAGTTGCTGATCTATCAGGGTCTTGAGCCTTCCGTAGCTCACAGGATGAAGAGCCAATGTCCATGTCATTTCTGTCAGAAACACCCATTTCTTACTTGGCATAAATATTATGAGTTTTTCATTCTTTGTTTTCTCTTGAAATAACAAAAGTTATTTACTAGTTTTATAAGCAAGACTTCTGAAACCAAATAGCCATCTTGAAAATATTTGGTGATATTGTACTTACTGTGTGTATTTATGTCAGCCCTTTGTAGTCAGTTTTCAGTTACACTGTTAGAGCGGAGGGCAGCGAGTGGTTGGTGATACAAATACTAAATGAACTAATTATTTAGTAAGCACTTTGTATGTGTGAAGCACAGAAATATATTTCTAGTTGGCTTCAAAGTATGTGTATGATCTTACAGAAATAAACTTCCTACAAAATCATGAAGACATATATTATTAGAAGCAAATAATCTGATTTCCCTGACTCCCTTGTCATTCTGTGGTATTGGCATCATATTCTTTTCAAGTGACACATAAATCCTCTTTGAAACTTTTTGCACAAACAGAAAAAAATGTAATTAAATATTTAAAGATTTTGAAGGCTCTTGGGAATCCAGAGAACCTAAACAAAATGCATGCTAAATTCTGATGGATTGGAAAGTGAGAATTACAGGCTATAATTGATAATAAAGTATGTGGATGAAGGAAGATGTAAATAAATGGAAAGATTTATCATGTTCATAGAGTGGTAGACTCAATATTATAGAATTATAATAATCAGTTTTTCCTCAAAATAGGAGGCAACGCAGTTCCCCTCAGATTCTCAACTGAAGAGCGAAACCCTAAGAATTACCAACACACTCCTAAAAGAACTGCAAAGGGTGGGAAAATGTCAGACTCTTAGAAACAGATGAAAACTTGTAGCTATAAGATGAGTAAGGCCTGAGGATCTTTTATAAAACATGCTGACTGTAGTTGGTAACATTGAATTATATAATTGAAATTTGCTAAGAGAGTAGAATTTAAATGTTCGTGTCCCCCCCATAAAGATAAATATGTGAGGTGATAGATGTGTTAATTAACTCGGTTGTGAAAATTCTTTCATGATATATACATATATCAAATCACCATTATCAACACATATATTACCATTTTACTTGTCAGTTACCCTGCAATGAAAACTCTTTTTAAATTTTTAATTAGTTTAAGATTGTAGTAATTAACACAGTGTGTTACTGGATATCATAAACAAATTGAACAACAGAATAGAATATAAAGTTCATAAACAGATGTACATATATATGGAAACATGATTAATAATGAAGTTAACATTTCAAATCAGTGGCAAAAAGATGAGAAATTCAATAAGTAGTGCCAGAACAGTTCAGTAACCATGTATACACACCATGTACCTACCATATACATAAAAAATGGATAGATATACCACAGTTTACGCTAAAATCAGTTGTATGTGGATTAGAGACTTAACTATGAATAGCCAACCATACAATTTTTATTTTATTTCATTTTGATAATACATTTATTTCTGTAAAGGGATTAATAAAGATTTAAATATTAGTTGTATAATACACGCATATATGAAGTTGATAAATTATGTTTTAGATGAAGAATATTATGTCCACTGAAGGCATTTTAATTATTACCTTCTACTTGCTTTTGTTTTCGTTTCATCACTTTCCTAAATTTCAAACTAACAGGAAACTTGATAAAATAATACCCATATAGCATTTGCCTAGATAAAGTGAAATAAGCCCAGCAGTGAGGAACAAATACCATATGATCTCACCTTTAACTGGAACATAATCAACAAAAGAAAAAAAGCAAGCAAAATATAACCAGAAACATTGAAATTAAGAACAATCTGACAGTAACCAGAGGGGAGGTGGGAGGCGATAATTGGAGGAAGGGTTTTCAGGAACTGCTATAAAGGACACATGGAGAAAACCAAGGGGGGAGGTGGAAGCAAGGGCGGGAGGTTGGTTTGGCTGGGGTAGGGGACAGTTGGAGGGGGGAAATGCAGACAACTGTAATTGAACAACAATAAAATAGGTTTTTTAACCCTTATTATATTTTTGCCATTACCATTCAGTCCCCTTACACCCCCTCCACCCAGTAATCACCACATTTTTGTCCTTGTCCATGAGTCCTTTTTCCTCTTTGCTCAATCCCTCCACCCCATAACTTCCTCTCCCCTGCCCCACTAGTTGTCATCTGTTCTCTATCTTTGAGTCCATCTCTGTTTTCCTTGTTCAGTTCGTTCAATAGATTCTACATCTGAGTGAAATCATATGGTATTTGTCTTTCTCTAACTGGCTTATTTTACTTAGCATAATGTTCTCCAGGTTCATCCACACTATTGCAAAGGGTAAAATTTTCTTCTTCTTTATGACCAAGCATAATCACTGTGTAAATGTCCCATAGTTGTTTTATCCACTCATCTATAGACAGACACTTGGGCTGCTTCCATAACTTGGCAATTGTAAATAATGCTGCAGTGAACATAGGGGTGCTTATGTGTTTTTGAATTAGTGTTTTGGGTTCCTTCAGATACATTCCCAGAAGTAGGATTGCTGGGTCAAAAGGCAGATCCATTTTTAATTTATTTTTTATTGTTGTTCAAGTACAGTTGTCTCCATTTTCACCCCATCATGCCCCTCCACCCCCCCATCCCTACCTCCCATTTTTAATTTTTTGAGGTATCTCCACACTGCTTTCCACAGTGACTGCACAAGTCTACGTTCTCACCAACAATGCAAAAGGTTCCCCTTTCTCCACATCCTCACCAGCACTTGTTTGTTGATTTATTGATGACAGCCATTCTGACAGGTGTGAGATGGTATCTCATTGTGGTTTTTATTTGCATTTCTCTGATGATGAGTGATGTTGAGCATCTTTTCCTATGTCTATTGACCATTTTATACAATTTTTCAAATAGAATAAAGGAGATATCTTTATGACTTTGGAATGGGGAAATGTTTGTTAGTGCCAGTGTTAAAAGATTAATAAATTTGACTACATTAAAATTAAGAATTTTTGTTCATCAAAAAAAACCATAAAGAGAGTGAGAACGCAGATTTCAGAGTGAGGTGTTTGTAAAGCATAAACTGCCAGTGGATCAGTACTCAGATTATAAAAAACTTACAAATTGGCAAGACAAATACAATTCAAATTCTAAATGGACAACAGACCTAAAAAAGTATTTCAAAGAAAAGGAAACCCACAGGGATAATAAGTGTATGAAAAGTTTATCTCAAAAAATAGAAAAGGTGATCTAGGTCAATAGCTGGAGAAATGTAAATTAAAACCACAATGCAGTAGCCTTTCATAAACTATTTTGTAATAATTTATAAGCTGGATAATAGCAAGTATTGGTGAAATTATGGAACAAATGAAACATGTAAACTCTGCTGGTTAGAGTGTAAAATGCTATAATTCTTTAGAATATAAAATAAGATAAGAAGAAATATAATAATTGGTCATTTCCCTGTAGAGTTGAATGCAAATATAGTCTCTGATCCAGTGATTCCGCTCTTCGCGGAGTTCTTTCCCCTGCACACGAAGGGACACGCGGGAGCATGTTTGTTGTTTGCAATAGCAGAAGACCGGATAGAACTCATCTGCCAGCCCGCAGTAGAGCAGATAAATTATGCTCTCTTGTTATATTAGAATATTATTTAATCATGAAAATGAATGAATTCTAGCTATAAGAAACAATGTGGATGGATCCTAAATAAGATAATTTGTGCAAAAATTAAAAGACAGTTCAATTATAATATAGTCCCAATTGTATAAAATTGAAAACATGTAACATTATTTGGGGATATTTAATTTAGGAATATAACATGTGATAAAAGTATAAAGAAAGGTGCAATAATGCATACATATTAAATTATCACATTATACACTACAATTTTACTTGTTGGTTTTACCTCAGTAAAGCTGAGGGGAAAAGAAAATCAAGGGAAATGATAGCTTTGCTGGATAGAGTCATCTTGGTTGTAGGTTCTCACCTTTCATGACTTCAAATACTTCTTTCCAGCCCCTTTTTGCCTACAAGATTTCTTTTGAGAAATCAGCTGATAGTCTAATGGGAACTCCTTTGTTGGTATAACTGTCTCCTTTTCTCTTGCTGCTTTTAAGATTCTCTCTTTATCTTTAATCTTGGGTAATTTAACTGTGATGGTCTTGGTGTGTTCCTCCTTGGATCCAACTTCTTTAAGACTCTCTGGGCTTTCTGGATTCACATGTTTATTTCCTTCACCAAACCGGGGAAGTTATTCCTCACTATTCAAATAAGTTTGTAATTTCTTGCTCTTCCTCTTCTCCTTCTGGCTTCCCTATGATTTAGATGTTGAAATATTTGAAGTTGTCCCAGAGGTGCCTAAGCCTCTCCTCATTTTTTTGATTTTTTTTTTCATTCTGTTCTGGTTGAATGTTTATTTCTTCCTTCTGTTCCAAATCATTGATTTGAGTCCTAGTTTTCTTCCCTTCACTGTTGGTTCCCTCTATATTTTCCCTTATTTCACTTTGCATAGCCTTCACTTATTCCTTTGTTTTGCATTTGTATTCAGTCATTTCTGTGAGCATCCTGATTACCATTGTCGTGAACTCTGCATCTGATTAGGTTGGCTAACTCCTCGTCACTTAGGTTTTTTTCCTGGAGTTTTGATCTGTTTTATTTGGGCCATATTTCTTTGTCTTGGTGCACCCGTTAAGTTGTAAGGGGTGGAGCCTTTGTTATTTGCCAGGGCAGGACAACCCACATTGCTATACACTGCCTGTTGGGGAAGGGTCAGAAAGGGAACAATGCCGCTTGCTTGACTCTCGCCCCTCTTTCAGTCACTTCCCCTGCTACCCACAAGTGAATTGGGCCCTTCTGGTGCTGATTCCCAGGTGGGTGGGTTTGTGTACATTCTGGAACCCCATGGGTTC